TTTGTACCAGTTACAGATATTTTCATAGGACTTGCGGCGAATTATTGGCAGTTATCAAAGATGGGGAGGGGAGGGTTGAAGAGAATGGGCACGTTAAACTAACGTAAAATGGCGTGCATGAAGCCAGCCTCACCTATTTATTTGAGTAGGTAGCGCACGGCACATAGTTTTCACCTTGGTTTGAGCGTCAAGGGCACATTGTGCTAACGGGTCAGAGGTCACGTGGTTTACCCGCGAGCACGTACCAAGATTGGTTTAGTTGAATATCTCGAGCCATTCTCGCTCCTCATGTTCTTGGTAGGTGGAGATAGGACAACTTTAGGGAGGGAAACTTTTGTCTGGCCGTGTCCGCCCGCTTGTCTGCCAAACAATCGGCTCGTCTGGACCAGTTCGGGGACCTTAAAATACCGCTTGTTCTCGGTTATCCGGATTTTTATTTGACGTCTTTAGTTATTTTTATATAACAGTCGAACATTTATCAGACTAAGTTGGGTGGCATATTGTCATGTTATGTCTACAGGGTGTGATTTAATAGACCTACAAGCCACTGTTACGCGATAGCTGGTAGCTTAAAGGCTAAGGGATAGCGGCGGGTAGTACCGCATGTATGTTGTCATTGTTGATCAGGGCACGGGTTTCATTACTCTTTTGATTACGTCATGATATGTTTTACCCCGTTCTGTCATTTTCGATTTCCTCAAAGCTTGTCGCTGTTATTTTTTTATTACACACATATATAGTTTAGATTATTGAAGCTAGGAACCATAAAAACCTAAGAGGATTTGGTAGCCAGCATATATTGTTAAAACTGACATATAATAGTAGTTGAACTCGGAATATCTACAGCACAACCCAGTTTATTTTTTAACACAACAAAACTTGTTTTTTGATTGTTTGTTTTTGTCATGCATTGCACAGAATGTTTTTTTTGTTTTTTTGAATATAGTGTCTTTGGTAAGAGATAAAACAGTTTAATATGTGTACAAAAATAGTTATAGATTGACTGTCTGTGAATCAAAAATAATCTTACTATTACTTATGAAGTCCATGGAGCTTGCTAAGTGGGGAAAGTATGTATAACTTGTATCTTATTTGGGATTTGTAAAGTAAATTTTATGCCAGAAAACCATGATTACTAAAATACAGAATAATAATATCAGATATGTGGGTATTGTGAGAGTTTTGTGATTAAACTTGAGGCAAAAGAAAGAACGTGAACAATTAGGATTCAATTATATTGTTCATTAATTTAAATTCCATTGGTTGTGAAAGTTAAACCTGTATTATTACAGTTCGTATTTGTTAATTTGTATTTTTGTTCCATTCAAAAAATTTGCAATACTACATAGCTTTAGCATTGAATCACTGTGGAAATATTTGTTAGAAACTCTTGATTTAAGGCAGAAGTATTAGTAATTTAGCTGAAATATGTCTGTCAGGTTTTATAAACTCGTACATCTACATATTTGTTGCAGGTAGTTCGGGCGCTCGACTCACAACCTTAGGGTCGCGGGTTCGAATACCCGTCCCACCAAACATGCTAGCCCTTTCAGCTGTGGGGTTGTTATTATGTCACGATCAATCCCACTATTCGTTGATAAAAGAGTAGCCTAAGAGTTGGTGGTGATGACTAGCTGCCTTCCCTCTAGTCTTTCGCTGCTAAATTTGCACGAAATTCAAACCATATTTGTTGCTCTACGTTATTAATGTGTGTATTCTAACTTCTCATCGTAACGTGGTACACATTGCTCTACCTGAAATGTTCTGCAATATCTCATTTATTCATGAAGATATATTGATAATAAAATTGCCAATCTGACATAAAAAAACTTTCTTTTGGAGCATTTGTTTTTGAAACCCAATAAAAACTGGCGAAATTTTATATCTATTTATTTTTATAAAAAGCATCGTTTGATCTTAATGTTAAGAAAGTTTCACTATTTCTACGAAAATCACGTGCCTTTTTTCTCTCTCTCTTTCCCTCTCCAAAACTTTACATATACTCTATGGTTTTTGTTTTGTTTTTTCACAGCTGTTGTTTTTTTTTATATAATCTTTTCACATTGTAGTAATTTTTTAATGTGATAATGATGTTGGTATTGTTTTTTCTGATGATACAACATGGTTCGTGTCCTCTTGATGCAGAATCGCCCTCTGCACTTTGAGGCTGTGGGTGAGTAAGAAGAAAGAGACTGTTAAATGTCACTATTCAAATAGGGTGTAAACCAAAGTTGGCGACAGGTGTTGTTGACTGTCTGCTTCTCCTTCTAGACTATAAAGTAAAATTTAAGGACCGGCTAACGATCGCCGATAGCCCTTGTGGATATTGCACGAATATCCAAAATATCCAACGTACTCGGTATTAACTGCGTAGCTAGGTAATTAAGCTAGCACTGAACACACAGGTTTGATGGAGTTAATATCGAAACTATTTTTAGGGAGGGGGCGATTCTAGTTCATATTTCTAACTATTATTTAAAAAATTAACTTCATAAACGGATTGTTTTTTTTTGTTCACGCAATTTTGAGACGTTGCTTTGAGTTTTCGTCGTCTAAAAGCCAAAAGAGCAAGTGGCCTATAGATTCATTGCGGAAGTTAACATCTGTATGATGTGAAAATGAACACGAGCGAACACAGATATGCACTATATAATAGCTGAATGAATGTAAGGCCTCAAAAGTGTTACCTTCGTTATTTTTAACTATATATAACTTTTTCTTCTTTTTTAGTTTTTCTGACTTCTTAGTTGGCTCAGTTTCTATCCAAAGCCCATGTTCATTAGTCATAGTTGTTGTTGTATGGTTTAATGGTCAACAAAAATGTGTATTGTGAAACTTAACATTATTTGTAACAGTAGATTAACCAGTTTGAGTGATTATTTGGCTTCTGTTTTTTAAATTTTTTACAATTTTTACCAATTAATTATTTACAATAACACAAGGTGGGTTTAATGCATTGTCAAAGATTACATTCATTTGTTGTCATTGTTAAAATAACCATACTTACTTAGAATTACTTAAGTATGTGATGTATTAGTGAAGAATGTAACAAGGTGATTTACTAGTTGTTACAGCAAAATGTAATTTCACTAGTTGTGAAACTTTTCTTTTTTTGTGTGTGTCTAGATTGTATCTTGCCTTCTTAACAGGAATATTCAATTTACATCAAAGTTGACATTTTTGGCACATGATTTAAGAAACAGCATGCCTGAAACATGCACACACATTTTTATGCCAAAAAACATCATCTATGAAACAGTATAGAATCGGAATCTGTTATTTTATAACATAATATGCAGTCTTTGTGGTTAGTTTAGAATTTGTAAAATTACCATATTAAAGATATCATTTCTAACATTTAATCTTTATATACTTTGGGTTTCATCCTTGCTTTATTTTGGTAAATGGTTTAATCAGCTGTAACAAGTTCTGTATAATCTGATAGACTTCTGGAAGTAAATGCACATTTGTTAGGTAAATTGCTTTTGAAGTTGCCACTGTAAGCTCTCACTTAGGCATTGGTACTTAGATAACTAATGATCACACAGTAATATAATGTAATAGTCATTATACAACCACATTAATATGTACCACAGTCATATGATCTCTAAACTTCCTTATATTAAAATTACAAGAAATAATATGTTAGAATTGCATTCTAATGGTCATATAACAAGCTCTGATGAGGTGTTTAGAGATATAATAATGATAATAAGCTTTTTTTGGGGGGAGGGACCATGAAATTTGTTTTTAAGTGATTATTAAAAATATTTTTATATCTTGTATAATCAAATAAGGAATGGACCATTTGAAAACTTGTGAAAACTATAAGATGTGATTGAAAGGAGTAATATAGAATTTTATTAAGATACAGAATGTAAAGATATCTTAGATATTTTTAATCATTGTGTTCCCTAAGTAAGATATACTATATTATTTACTTTCATTAACTGTACTACTTAGTGTATTGAATGTCATGATTTTTCATTAGTATGCTTCTATTACATGGATTGTTTTACATTGTTAGCTTAATATTTGTATTTAGGATTACTTTAATCTCCTATACTGGCTGGGATTAAGGCTGAAAATATCGTTAATAATGAATGTACCCAACTTACGAAACAATGCATTCAAACCTTTAGAACTAGAAACATAACAAAAGCAGCATACTTAATTAGGTATACTGATTACCAGGTTGATTTTTAGTTTTGCTCTAAGTACATAGTTTGCTCCTATTGAAAGTTAATATTAGTTAGGTACTATTGTTTTAATTGAATGCTTATAGGAGAGATGGTGGGGACAGAGATGTCTGAAATAACTTGATAATTATATATAGGTCAAATTATATCTCTAAATGGCATTTTAGGGATAAATATTAAACATCTAAATACACCACATAAACTTAATACTGTGCAGTTTATTTTCACAATTTTGAAAACAGTGTTTCTTAGTTACTTGTTGTGGTCTTGTCATTTCTTGTATGATTCCATTGTTTTTACCTTAAAATTTAAAAGCAACAAGAATAAGAAATAGAAAGCTGTCTTATAAAAATTGTTGGATAATGAAAACATAGAATGCTTTTGTAGAAATTAGTGCTGGAATGTATATATTAAGATGTAGTGTCTGAATTAGTATATCATTATATATATTTAAGCAGTAGTTCCAATAAAAGTATCTTATGTTTTCATTATCCAACTGGTGTAATTGTTAAAATGAAATATCCTTAAATTTTTACATACAGTGTCTCAAATAAAAAGCTACTACAGGCAATTTAAGGATAGTATCCACAGGCAACAACAGTAGTTACCTGTTGCTTGTTGATGCTGTGGTTAACCTGGCAAAACATTGGATGTTATAACTAACTTTGGTCAGGTAATTATTGCTTTCATAAGAGTTATTAAAACTAGAAATTGTATCATAAATGTCTTATTGCTTAAATAGTAATTTTAATCAACTGGATATGTAAATCTGTGATCATCCATGTGATTTTCATTCTGCAGGATCTTGAGGACGCTTTGGTTGATGGTAGCAGCGTACTTGTTCCTGATGTCTGTGCTCGACTGTTGAGGTTTCTCACTGCGAAGAAAGATACATTGTAAGCATACTGCAAAGTTACATACATTGTTGCTGGTAAGAAATAGCATTATGAGAATAAAGACACTTATTAACAGTTCAAAAAATGATATGAGCTTATAGCAAGCTGGTATATTGGTACATATTATTACATTGTTAACACACTTTTTAAAATAAATGAACTGTGTTGATTGACTTTAAGCATCTGTACATTTTTACTAATTCAAAAGAATGTCATCAATATTATTAAGATCTGTTAGCCCCAAAAAGTGAGGCTGACTGATGTTTCTAATTAGAAAGAAAACCCATTTTTAGCATTAATAAATTGACTATAGATTTAACAAAATGAAAAGGTAAACCTTTGATAGGTTGTTTAGGCAAAGTATTCATGATGAAACTTTGTAGAATGGATGGCAACTGCCTGTTATGGAGACACAAGTGTAAAGGACGACTCTTGGAAAGTCTTTCATCTTTTGTCGTCCTCTACATTTGTGTCTCTACAACAGGCAGTTGCCGTCCATTCTACAAAGTTTCATCATGGAAAGGTAAATTTTTAAAGTACCACTTAAAATACACCATAGGGTGAAAATGAAGATTTCTGCAAAGAAATATTTTTTTTATGTGAGGTTATTTGTATTGTTTTGAAAGACAGAGTTTTACAATATAGTTGCCAAAATGTTACCCTCTTTTCATTCAACAAGCAGTTTCAGTCCATTAATGTTCTCACACCAATTATACTTATGATGTTCTTTCTAAATCTTTGTATCAGTTCTGTATAGAAAAATAATTTTCTAAGGACTTGGATGAACAAATTGTTCTAAAAGAGGTAAAAACCATCCACCACATTTTTACTAGAGAAGTACAACTTTTTCCAGAAAACATTTTTCTGTGTGTGTCAATCTCTTATTCATTTATCTCTTTCTCTATCTAAACATAAGATTTTAACCTTTGTAGAGAAAATAAGTAATAACATTAGAAAGGTTTATGTGTGTTTTGTTGTTATAAATGTAATTTCTACTGGTCTTTTGCATTTTTACATTGTACGTAACACTATACATTATACAAAAGTTCAACTCGGATCATCATTCTGGGTAGCATTATGACACATCTGGGTCATTCCCAATGTCAGGTACCAAGTAGAGGTTCTGAGTATGGTTACTAGGTGTTAATGCATTATGTACCAAAAGGTTGGAGATATCAGTGTCACTAGGATATTAAAAGTCAATCACTAAAAATCATTGAGGGTAGCATTTTATAGTTGTCGGTGATTACATTCTTGGCTTTTATGTTGATAGGATGATATGTCAGAACTAAAGGGATGCAATTTTTGTTCTCTCTCTCGAGTCTGATTAAAAGAATGATTCACAAGGTTAATTAACTGTTTTTGAGGCAGTTTTGGGTATTAGAGATTTGGGGTACCTCTTCTCTTGAAAATATTTTTGTAGTAAAATTATCAACTTCACTGCATAATATATATGGTCTTAGGAAGTGAGAGTAAGTGATGGGTTTCTTTAGTGTTTCTTAAGTGAGAAGAGTCAAGTACCTATACTAGAAGCAATGTGGTTATCACTGAGATAAGGTTCACTATCTAGGATTTAAACAAACACAGTGTTTATTACTAATATTCACACTGATAGGTACTGGGATTCTGAATAGATTTGGTGGAGGAAGAGGGATGACACTTTTCAATTGTGTTCAGCCACCAACATGTGGAGTTTAGAGGGTTGGTTGGACTGTGTTTCTCTTGCAAAAAATAATTTTACGTTTACATGGTTCAAACAGGTACTGTGCTTAGCCACCCTACAGCAGCAACTTAGTTTTGTTGAGCCTTCCTCGGCCATCTATATCAGTGAAACACAAAGAAACCATGGAAAAAACAGCTTTATAGAGCGGAGGAACGAGATCTTGTATTGCGCTACATGTGCTGCCAGTGTTGTTTTGTGCAAGAATTTGGATGGTGGTTATGAGTTTTATTCCTTCATAACCTGGAAACTGGTGTGAATGTGATCATGCTGCTGGACAATTCATATAACAGTTATTGCAAGGACTTAAAATCTTAATTCTAAATTAAAAAAAAAAAGAGTGAACTGGAAAGCTTTGTCACCCTAATTCCTAGACTGGGTGTTAAATCTCTTTGATTTTTGAAATAGTAATATATTCAAAAAGAGTTGCTTCAACTTCTCAACCTCTTTGCCATTTGGTTGTGTTGTAGGGAAAACATTTCTTTTTCTTGTTCATTTCAGATTTTCAGGCAAAATTGCACAAGGGCTATCTGCACATAGCTGTACCTAATTTTGAACTAACAGATCACCCACTGCCATCTCTTGGGCTACTCTTTTTCTGACAAAACAGTGAGAGTTGACCATCACTTATAATGTAACCGTGACTTTAAAGTATGGAGTGTGTCTTTGCAATAATTGGATGTGAACCATTAAAAATATAATTAGGATAATGTATACTATCTATGGTTATATTAGTTAATTATGACAATAATTAAAATTTGTTAACTTTGTAAAACATATATACTTGCTTTTGTACAACAATTTGCATTTACTAGTGTGTGCTTACACATATACTTGCCCAGGTTATTATGGGTTGGGTTAAGGAGTACCACACTTGGATCATTTCTATGATTTAAAAGAACCATATATCATAAGTTTTGCTGTCTTTGCTCTGTATTGATGTGCTTAGCTTTTCTCCACCCCAGCAGCTAGTGTAGTTAAGGGGCGATTTAGAAGATACCAGTTTTGTAAGTTCATGACTACACTTAATATCAACAAAAAATTATGTATAGGGTGAGGCAAAAGTAACTTACCCCAAGTCTTGAGAAATAATATTTCAAACTGTTAGATAATCATGAAAGGGCGGGTTAATCATTGCCAGGAATATAATACTAACTATTAATATGAAATGCTAATAGTGAATAGGGAATTACTTATGCCTCACCCTGTGATTGTTTTTCTTTAGCTGTTCATGTTTGATCTGTACCTGGTTTAACAAAACCTGTTGTTTTTTCGGTTAATTTAAAGTTTTCTGCTGAATGATAGCATATGTAAATATTAATTAACTAATAGGTATGATGAAACAGAGTAGTTGTCTCATAGATTATGTGTGAATGTTCTTCGATTCGGTAACTGTACTGTATAGCTTTTATGTACTTATTGGCACTACAGAAGACGATAAATGAGTATATAGATATGTTTATTTTAACTCATTTTTTCACACGTCTCGAGGTGAATCTTGGTTAATTATAAAACTAAACGTTTCATAGGTGCTGTTCCGTATATGCATTGTATGCGGGTGTCAAAGGTAAAATACGGGTTTCGTGAGAACGTAATAGTTATATGGAACGCCGGCGTATAGCGAATTCATACAGTTTACCATCAGTACACGTGAAAACCTGTAGCTCTTTGTCATAACTTTCACGTTTCAGTTTATCCGTCTCTACGATTTTCGGTAACCTAGTCGGTTGCACTGGTTGAAATTCGTGCGCCCCAAGGATCTGTGAGCTGAATAACTAATACTCTGAGAAAGCTACGTTTTGGGCAAGATAAGATTTGACCGCTTGCCAGTTTCTTTTTAAGATTGAGCTTCCAAGTCATCGCCTTCTGTGTAGCTATCTTCGCAATGGTGTGATAAGCTGTTCTGACACGATCATACCAACATAAACCGTAATTTTATCGTCTGATGTGTCTGGCTCGTGTGACCACACGTTGTACTTTCGCTCTTGTGAAAACGTGGCAGGTTACGCTTAGTTCATCTCTTTTACTTAAGTATGAAACATATTACTAAGATATTTATCAACACGATGTGGCATGTCATTCGTGTTGCTTAAGGCTTGTTTTCTTAGTATAGTATGAGGGCGTGGTCTTAATTTAAAAACCTAACTTAGAGTGTGTAATTTCACCTAGCCGTGTAAGTGACAATTAGTGTAATGATTAATGAGTTAACAAGCTTAGTCTTAACTAATTCCACAACACCTTAACTTTCACTGCCTTGTCAACTGCTATTTGAAAATTATATAAATGATTAGTAATTCGTGTTGATCTAAGTATCTTTGTTGATCTTGTAATTTGAAAACGTGCTAAGTCACTTAGTCCATAAAAATAATTCACTGTGTTTCATAATAGGATATTGGTAATTGACATTCACATTGACAGTATTCGTTTTATGTAACTTTAATAAACAAGCATAACTAATTTTAAAGCAGTTTCTGGTTATTATTTTTCAGGTTTTATGTATGGACCAGATTGTTTACAGTAGGTGTCTGTGACTTGTTTTAAAATAACATATTAAAATAAATCAAACGTATATACAAATGTTCGTTAGACTGTTGGTTATCACACTTGTATCCAGAGCTTTGAATAATTATCTTTTTCGTCAGTCTACACAGAGTAGTTCAATTACTTTAGAACACAGTTTGACAAGACGAATTATTTATCCTTGTCTGTTATTACAATACAGTCTGTAATAATTTCACTTTAAAAATCGCCAATATACGCTCCTTATTGCTAAGCTCACAGTCACGCAGTCTAGATCCAGCTATCGAACTAAATTACCTACGCGTATTTATAGCTCGACAGAGGCATAAAACGTTCCACACAATACGATATATTATGATGCAATATCACTTAATTAAAACAACGTGAGAAACTCAGAAGGTTCTAGTAACATGGCGCAATAATATAACAATCGCCAATTCATAACTATTTGAACTACACATGGTGTGATTCGTAAACAGTTACGTAAACAAACTTGCGATAAACTATCTAAATCATAACATTCTCATTATACCGAAACAATCGTGTATATCTAACGTTATTATTATTTTAATAAATGGTGAGGTTCTGATAAGGTTCGATTCTTATTTCAATCAAAGGGTGTTCCGTGATGAGATTTAATCGTTTCTGTTTCAGTGAAAGGATGTTCTGTGGTGAGGTATAACTGTTCACTTTTTAATGAAAGGGTGTTTTATGGTGAGGTTCAGCTGTTTTCATTTCAATGAAAGGATGTTCCATGCCG